TGATCGATATGCAATAGAATTTGAAAAAGTTGATTTATAATCGTTTTTGTTTGCTCATCTGTCACGGTTCAAGAGTTCAATATTTACTTTTAGTTTTTCACTTCGAAACGCACAATATTACCCCAATAAACTTGCTACGCGTTCATTTTGACGGAAATGCAGGGAGTCGCGCAAGTAAAGTAGTCAATACCCGCCTCCGTGCTAACGTGATTTATCCTTGTATCAGCAAGGTCTACTGCTTCCATGAAAAAGCACCGGTAAAAAGATACTAAATCCTTCAAACAGCTAGAATCGACTACAATAAGTCATCAATCGACGTGTGTATATATCCACAACACAGCCAGGTGTACATGCAAAGTAGTTTATTCATCTTGATGTGCTCTGAGTCACAATAGAAAAACATAAAATATCCAGAGAAATAGTATGTACGTCCATAAATGTTGATACGTTGAAGCTCCTCTTACTTCAAAGTGTGGGCATACTTAAAATATGCTCTCATTGCATATCGATCACAGAAATGATTTACCATTATCACGTTTTTTGTTTGACAAACAGAAAAAGAGAGAAGAAAGAACGAGAAAATCTGTTGGCTTTTCTTTCGTTCATTTCTGTTCCCTTATTTCCAGATGTCTCATTTTTTCAGCAATACAAAAAAAATCAACCTTTTTCACGGAAACTTGTTTTCTCCTCATTATTTGACACGCACAGGAAATTTTGCTTTAATTAGATATTTATATAACAAATAAAATAATTATTTATATAGTTCATTATTTTCTTGTTGTTTTCGGATACAATAGCTTTTGTAGAACGGAAAAGCGAAAATATTGTTATGGGTACTAATCAATCGAAAACATGTTTGAGTGAAAAAGATATTCATATGATACAAAAACATACGGGACTTGATCGCGAGAAGATCGCGAGCTGGCATCAAGCATTCCTAACAGGTATGTCTTTCAAATTATTATTATATTTGTTTTTTTGACTCAGTATTGTCCATGACATCCTGTTCTCCTTTGAAGATTGTCCAAGAGGTACACTTAACAAGGAGCAATTTGTGCGATTTTATTCCGAATTATATCCAGACGCTGAGAAGGCGAAAGCTTACAGCCAGTGTGTATTTCGAGCATTCGACCAAGACAAAAGTGGTTATATCGGTAAGCTTGTGTCGAACTGTTAAGATTCTCTCTGCCATCTGAGGATTCGTCGTGAACTTTTTGCAAAATAGAAAGCAATCAAAGCCTGATATTTTCTTTGTTGATTCAAGACGCTTATTTTGCATCTGCTTGTTTTTGTCCCTATTCTTCAACTATTACCATTATCGAGACGGCTCGATTTTGTTTCAGTATCGTGATTTCATTAAAAACTCCTTCGATCAAGGTGAATTTTTTACCCAAGGCACTTGTTATTCCTTTCAACGGATTGGATTGAATAGGATTATCTTTAAAAAAGCATTTTATTCGAGCCCTAATCAAGCCTTCCGAAACTGAATAACACAATACACTGTACACAAACGTTGACGTTCAACACTTTTCAGTCGTTTTTATTTTAAGAAGACGAATCGGTTTAGTAGAATATGATCAGCGGCCATTTCCATTCAGACTAGCGAATAAATTCTACAAACGCGAAACAGATTTTGCATTTTCGGCCGTCGAGGACACTTTGGATCAAAGGTGGGAAGATGTGTTTTCACCTCATTCTGTCTGTTTCATTCTCAGAGCAAAAGAGAGAGATAAGGATACAACACAAAGAACACTGCACAGTTGATAGAAGCGAGCATTTGAACTTTGAACTCAAATGCAAAGAATTAACTTATGAACTAAATTGCTCCCAGTGGGGACTCTGTGGGCTAAACTTTCTGAGTTATGGCAAGAACGAGTAATACTCACAACCTTTTTCGGTAGCGGAAGGGCGCTTTAACGTCTCGTGGGCGAATGTTCTGGATCAGGAAATTTGTAGGGGACATCTAGCAAGTGTCGACAGTCGATGTAGTTTTTATTCTCAACATGGCACCGATATTAGTTCTCTCTGTATCTCTTTACATTCAAGATATAAGTAACACGGGTGTCTCTTTTAGATTTCAGTGAATTTCTGATTGCATTTTCGCTTGCTGGCCGTCAAAATACAGATCGGGAACGAATAAAATGGATATTTGATATGTGTATGTCAGAAATCTTTTCAGCGCAATGTGTTCTTTCACTCTTGTTTCGTTTCTAGATGACAGTGACCATAATGGATATATCGATAGAGGCGAGATGATCAAAATGCTAGATGTAAGTTCACGTATGCTTGACTTTTGCCTTTATTTAACATGATCCTCTTTGTTAGGCCATGTTTGATATGCTGAATGTGGATCGACGCGCCCTCGAAAATACTCCAGAATATCGCGTGAAAATCATTATGAACGCATTAGATCACGATATGGACGATAAAATATCAAGCGAAGAGTTTATCGAGGGCGTTTGTAGAAATGATGCCATTAGAAAAATACTATTGCCTGATTAAATCAGTAAAAAGTACAGCTACAATAAAATATCTGTCTTGTGTTTTGTGTCATACCGTCTAAAATATACACGTTACTGTTACAGAATGTATATATACATCACTTAATGTTGAATGAGATGGCTTTTTCTCTTATAGGAGACCCTTTTCTGGATACACTATATTTTCACCATAAAATAAACAACTTGTACATAGACTACAGATCCATCGTTCGGATTAGCTTTTCGGAACGGCTATTGTCCCTACCAGCGATGTCAAGAAGAAGCTATTGCCACCGCCTGAGGGTGGCAGCAAGAGCTATTGACATTTCTGAGAGTGTCAACCAGCTACTATTAACATCCTTAAGTAAATTCAATGAGTACGGTAGAGAAATTTCGTTCTTTTTGTTGTCTGATTTTTTAAATTAGTTTATTCGTCAACGACAGTCATTGTGTCTACACTACTGTAATATCATGGTTATGTTCGGATCATCTAATACTAGGAAATGACTTTTTATTCATACTCCGGAATGAGAGATCAGCACTGTACAGCAATGCGATCTGTCATGCGTGGATTCCATTGATTTTCTGCGCACAATCGATTGCAACATACATAAATTCTAAGTTGTAGTTACTGTTCTGGGTTTAACATTTGGATGTCGCTTGTCCATTTCAACTAGGAAATGGGAAATGATGTGTAGCCGGCTGTCGGCTTGAGACCATAGAAAAGAAGAATTAGTCAATAAAAAGAAGTAGTCGATTTACATTCTTCATTGATATAGGACTGCGACTTTAAAGATAGATAGAAAAGTTCACTACATATATAATCCAACTAGTGTAATTAAACTAGTTTCACTGGGATAACGAGTTGAACGTAGCCACGCGATAAATAGTACGTTTTATAAAAGGGCCGTACATAAAGTTAGCAAAAGTAGAAAATTGAGAAGAACTCTATTTTCTATCACAAATTGTTAAATAGCCAATAGGTGTCATAGCAATAACTGGGTATTGCCTTACATAATTGTGCTATATTTTGCAAAGTTCAGGGCTATGGGCGATAGTTCTGACAATCGATTTACTCATGTGAAAATGACTGGATTTCCAGACGCGTTAATCGTGGAGTACCTATATAAGGCTAACCTATGCTTTGATCGCTATAAGCATAGTTGTCAGAAGTTACTTGTATGTATGAGTGATACTGATAAAAATAGTATCGTTTGAATGATCTAAGTGGTCCCAAATGTTTCTTTTCTTAGGCTTGATTGAATTACTTTCGGACTTCTCGTATGTATCATCAACGTTAGGCCTATGGTCGCTGCAAGTACGGCTTTTCTATGTTTAACCGTGAACGAATTATAAGCAAAACACCCCATATGTAACTGTTTTTTTTTATGTTGTTTTTCTGGTGGTCCAAATACGTTTGGTTTTGTAGTTATTATATAAAAAGTGCAGAATTTAACAAGTTTGAAATTGCAATTTAAATAGTATGCCTTAAGGCATTTATATGCTAAATACTATACAAATATCATGAATTTGACGTGTGTTAATATTACAAAGAAAATGTGGCACGGATATAAACACGTGGATGTACATAACTGGATAGAATGATACATCGTGCTTTAAAGCATGTTATCGCGGAATGGTAAACTGTATATAAGCGTTCTTTCATATGATGATATTTTGACCATCGCTGGAAAGAGAAAGAATTTCGCTTTCGTTCTTATTTTTGTGTCATCGCTGTTTAAGTTTCTAACAGTTGTGCCTTGAATTTGCTAAGGAGAAAATATTATAGCAAAAACGTAGTAGAAGATGAATGCGGAGAGTATAAATAGACAAGTAAAGCTGTTTGTGAATAAAATCGTAGTATTTTTCATCCACGTGCTTTTAGAAATTTTTTTGTTTTTAAACTGTATATCCATGCAAGAATATTTTAAAAAGAAAGGAAAAGAAAATTAAGTGAGAGTATATAAGATGTTATCTGTACTATCATAAAAGTAAGCTATTTGTATACTGTCTTCAACAGAATTTAAGAACGATTCAGACGGGTGAGGATAGTTGTGTGTCTGATATCGTTGATATACCAAAAACCAGACAGCTGAAGCTCGATGAGAACACATTCCGATAGTTCGATCTCCAATTTTACAATCGCAACAACTGCCTTCGATAGCGGAAGCTGAGAATTGAATGTAAGACCAGTAACTTCTGGAATTTACATGTCTTGAAGAGAGCCTTATTCTGATTAGATCTGGAACGGCACATGTCTGTAGTATGTAATTAGTATGATTTGTTAAATCAGTAGTTGAACAGTGCTCTTCTGTATAACTGCGAGCTTGTTTTATTTGGAACACTCCTAAGATGCAGTATTGTTCAGTTACCGTATTATTGGAGAAGTCAGTGCGAAAAATGGGAATTACGTACCTAAAGTCAAACTTCGCACTTGATCTAAGGTTAAAACTGGAAATTGTAAGAGATTATTTGGGTCAGCCATATCGATAAAAGAGTAAAAATATGGAGTTAGTCAGATACATCGGGTTGGATCCGATTACATGATCAACTTGACTATTAACCCTAGCCTTACCATGATTCTCTCTTAAAATAAACCCCCTTCCATATTAGACATTTTGCCGAGTTTTGCTGGGAAAAACTGAAAATTTCGCTGAAGAGATCTCTCAGAGAGAGCTTCTGTTACGAGGGGGGGGGGGGGTAATTTATTTTTAAAGGAAAACTATAACTTGCGTTTTTTAAAAATAACCGAATTTTAGCGAGCTTACGGGGTGGGGAAGTTTGAAGAGGAAATGCCGTTTTTT